AACACTTGCTCGCCGTATTTACTAAATGTAATAGTTGTGCACTTTTTCTCTCGCACTTTTGCCTTCACTAGGGCCACTTTCATACGCAGCGCAGAAGCAGCGGATACAGTTGTTTGTTGCAAACGCCATGAAAACGGCATCTGCGCCACAACAAAAAAGAGACTAGTACATGCTCATTTTCTCTTTTATTTAAGCTCCGCTGTAGTAGTAGTACAGAAGGAGCATTGAAAATAGAAACATATGGGAGCAATAACTGCACCAGTAACATACAACACCTAGTTTTTTTTTTTTTTGTTTTCTTTACGCACGCACAGATTAGTGGTTGGGAGGAGCGCTTCTTCGCCTGGCTTGGATTCGACGTCACGCTGCTGCGGTGCCTCTGCTGTTGGCACAGCGCATTAGAGTGCTTGTATTACAGAGGGCGTCCAACTGCTCGATCGGGGTCGTGCGGTTTAGGGGCCACGTTTGCAATACGAGCTGCGAGGAGGTGCCGAAAGCATTGATCGTCTGCTAACCTCTCCGCCTTTCCACCAGTTTTTCCTCCTCTCCACCCGACAACGCAGCGCATGCGCGCTTGCGATCAACCTCAGCAGGAAGCGTCCATTATTAGATTGCTAACGGTCCCCCATGGTTTGAGATGGACCCTCTCTACAATCTATAGGTTCTCTGCAGCGCGTTAGTGTGCTTAGATTTCTAAGTGTTTCTAATGGCTCGACTGGAGTCACGCGGTTTGATGAATCGCCTTAGGCAATGAGGGTAGAAACTGAGGGAGAGGGAAACGCCGGGGAGCCGAGCTGCAGATGGTTTGATGAGGCAAATCTAGCTCCCTTTATCTCTACCATAATCTCGTCTATACTCACAAAGCCTGGCATGCAGTTCGACGACGAGGAAAGCCATAGATTGCCCAGTTGCAGGTTTGGAGAGCGAGGATCTGGTAGCAAAGAGCATTTCTCGGGGAACCTAAAGCCCCTCTGTCTTGGGAAAAGTGGTGCCATTCATTGCTGTGGACGTCAAGACACGTGCCGCGCGCCACTTCTGGGAAGAACATGGCGTCTGAAATTTAGCCCACCGCTGCGCTGTGCCGCCATGATCTTCCCAAGAACTGCACGTTGCACGTGCCTGTTGCATCGACGCACCTTGCGCTACTTTTAAAACATGAAGGGGCTTAGGGGAACCTGGACGTCAGCGCACAGCTTTTGCAATGGCGAGGACCCGAAACATGGTTTTCAAACCCGATGAGAAAAGAGGCGGTAGCGCGAGGAGCACGAGCGGACATTCCATCGCTCGGGAGAAGTGTGTTTCAGTGTCTCGCTGCAGCAGGGCTCCCGTCACGTGGCTCTCCTCTCATCCGTTGTCTGCCACTCTACGTTTTCAACTTTGGCGGCTGCTTCTCGAGGCGATCTGCCAGGCTTTGTCAGTATGCAGGAGGCTATGTGTCTATTCACTCTTTCAACGCGTTCAAACACCGAACGCCGGTGGCCGGTGTCGGCATTTGAACGCGTCTGTACAGTGAGTAGAGACAAAGGCATCTAGCTACCCCCTAATGAATCCATCCAGAGCTCGGCGTTCTGGCATCCTCGCCCGCGCTCGTCTCCTTTCGCTCATTTTCTATACCCGCATGCAAACTGCAAGGGGCTTTGGCATCCATGCGCAAATCCAGAGTGAAATTTCGACCCCCCTCCTGGCCTTCTTCCGAAGCCTCTGGCTTTTTCCACCATGCCCGCGACCATATACTTGTAATCGAGGAACACGCTTTATATGGTGTCTCCACCCATATCAAAGAAAGCGAGGTGTCAACAACTATACCACACGTAGTAAACCTTGCCAACTGACAGTCATACTTGGAAATCCCTTGGGCACGTCCATCCCAAGACTTCCAGGAGTCTCCTGCCTCCAGGGACTCGGCCAGAAGACTTGAGAGTCGCTTGGCGTCGTGGCGTCGTGGCGGTCCCGCTCGCGCTGCTTGGCTCTCCGATTCTGGAACCACACCTGCCCGAAAAGGAAATGCAAAACGCCGACCAACTGAGCCTTAATCTTGAAATAAACATTTCCCTGTAGTCATTGAGAGTTTAAGAAACACTTTTTTAGCGTCGGGATTCATTCTTTTTTGTTGTTGTCAGCTACTTCAGTGATGTGATTGGTCTGTCATTATGGAGCGCCTTTTGGAGCACCAAAGGGAACGTTTGCAGCAGAAGCATACAATTCATTTTTACTCATACCGAAAACGACGACGACAATTGGAATACATCATTTTCTGACACTCTTCCTGTAAGCTTGAAATGTTATGTGATTCTGCCCAATTTGGCTACCCCAATAGTTTCTTTAATCACTGGACACTACGGATTTCTTCCCGGGCAAAATCCTGCCACCTAAAAAGCGACCACTTGTGACAGAGTTGCCCCGCTTCAATGACCCAATCCACCAGACCTTGACCTCGGACGCTGAAACGGATACCACTGCGACTACGAGCCACCTTTTGGCAGCAGAAACGCGCCAACCACTACAAGAACCGCTATTTACGTCTAAGCCCATCACTGGCAACGTTCCATCAAAGAAACAGCGCTAGCGCGTGAATCTCTCCCCGGAACAAATGGACGAGGAGAGAACATCCAACTACTTGTTTCATGACGGCACTCCTGCAGGCGAAGACTACTTCGCTCAAGTCACAGTGCGGAGAAATCGCCCCCCTGAAATCCCACTAATCGTCAAGCCAAAAGAACCTGGAACCTCTTTTCGAAAAACCGACCGTAACCGTAACAGCAAAAGAAATCGGGATGGTGTCACGATTTGCTAACTCAATTTCGCTTAGTTACAAACAAACGAGCAACGCATCTTGTAAATGTCCCCAACGGACACATTGGTGTTAATGGTGAATAAGAAAAGCTATAGGCAGAAACACAAAGAGCAGAACACCGCTATGGAAGATCAGGTAATGTTGAAGACTATAACCATGCCCAACATATTCACAAGCTGATGTGTCGAAAGCTGCAAATTCTTTCAGTCCGCCAATGGAGGCAGTTTAGCAGTAACCTGACCCTCTTCACACCAATTGCTATTAGTAGAGAGATATTTTGGTGGCGCCCCCCTGTGGTTCCCTCTTGTGACGTCATTACCTCCCAAACAGCAAGTTCAATGGTGTTTGTAAAGAGCGTGGTGGAAGCTTGAAATCATGGTGCCCTTAAACCAACACTGCCAACGGCGTGTAAACTGAAGTTCTTATCTCTGTCGATAAGAAATCCTTTGTTGACGTCATAGTCAGCATTCGGCCAATCGTGGCAGGCCGACCATAGCGACGCTTTCGATCGCGCACGTTGCCAATAGATATACTTTGTTCTCTTTGCACTCCGGTTATGCCTAAAAAAACTTTTCCGCGCGCTATAGCTCTTCTAAAGGGTACATCGAAAATGACAATCGCGGGTGAATTTTGCGTTCTGTTAGCGCAACAATGCGATGTGTTAACAACTTCCCATAAAGTCCTTTATGCAACTTCCCAATACCGTTCTTCAAAGACGCAGGCCACTCGTACCCTCGAGAACGAGATACATCGAGTGCATTCAGAGCTAGATCATGAAATCGTGAAATTGATTGTGCTCTTCACTACACCCGCATATCTGCTGCTCTTGGTCTCGATAAGATCACTTACGATGCAGTAGCAAATGTTGGCCTCGGTGCCACCAGCACGTCTTGAAATACACAATGGAGAACGGAGACGATACCGGAATCGTGGAAGGTGGCGAAAATAGTTCCACTGTTAAAACCTGGAAACTCACCACTGAGCCTGGATTCCTTCCTCCCTGCGAGTTTAATTTTGTTGCGTCGGAAAGCTGCTCGAGATGATCATACATCACCGCCTAGAGTGGTGATTGGAAACCAGTTAAGCGTTTCCCGAAGAGATTAACACTTTATTATTCCAAACGCTATGCACATCTGTAAGTAGACATTGTGTTAGCGACCAGTGCGCCTAAACCTGTGTACAGGGTGTGCGAAGGTAAACAAAAACAAATAATGACCGAATGGCCGGGGGAAGTATGTTACTTATGGTTGACTATTGTCTTTGCTTGTTTTTGAGGATCTTCAGCGAGTAGCGCATACTCTAAAAGTCTTACCTCTTCCCCCTCCTAACTACACCTCCTAGATAACCCTAGGTGATGTTGTTCTCAGGGTGTTTCACAACATTTCATGCATTATAAGACTTTGAAAGTAAAGGTCGCTGCTAATTTTTTTACTGTTCAATGCCCTCCTCCAGCGCGTATCACCCAGACAAAAAATGATAAATCAATGTGCTGGGGGCTCATACGCGGCGTCTGGTATTTCCACAGGAGAGAGCTATTGCGCATGCGCAGCCTCGTTCCACAGCCCAAGGGGAAAAGATGGCAGCGCGCAGAATGCAATAATTGGAATATTGGCCTATAGATACACGGGAGTGAACAGGCGGCGCCTCAGTCGGCTGCTAGCCAGCGCGACCTGTGGCCAAAATACGCAACTTTAGGAAGGCCTAACAACAGAACGATTGGATACGAGCGCTGCATCAGAGTTCGGCAGGGCACTCGGAGATTCGGGCTCGAGATCGGGGCCAATGACTGAGGGCACGCGGACCGTCTCAGTGTTGCAAAAATTGTCTATAAGGTGGAGACCCCTTTGCCAAACCAAACATCATGGTCGACGGTCGGCATGCAAGTTCGTTTGCTCTCTGCGTGCCTTGTGCGTTTCTTTGCACCTACGTGCTTGTTTTCCTTTACGATCTTAACCAATAACAGCGCGCGCTTGGTAGCCTCGTCATCGCGCGTTTCCTGCGCGTCTTTTTGTTGCGTTTTGATTGGCTTGCTGCCTTTCCTTACGTTTCGATGCGCCGGAAACGTGTTCAGGAACACTTGCTCGCCGTATATAGAACATATAGTGGAGGCTGACGCAGTGTTTACCCGAACCCTGGCTTCCGGGAGCTGAATCTTGCTGGCCAGCTCCTCTTTGGAGCAGATGTCAGGGTAGCGGTTTTGGTGGAAGGCTTTTTCCAGCTCTGCCATCTGGTAGTCGGTCAAGGTGGTGCGGTTGCGGCGTTGTTTGTGCTGCTCGTGCCCCCTGGGATTACCGCTGCGAGTTAGAAGAAAGAGAAATACCACACGGCGTCAAACTTTACGTTTAGCGTTGTCAAAACTAACCTAGATTTTTTTTTTTCTTTACAACGTTGTTAAAGAAGTAGTTATGTTTTTAAATTAAAAGTGTGTGTCACAAGAAAAAAGAAAAAGAGCAAAGGTGGTTTATAAAAAGCACACAATGGCCGCTTATAAAAAGACACCACGACAAAGAACAAAGAGGGAAAAAATATATATATAGGGACAAACTGGGAAAATACATGCATTTTTGTCTCGTTATTGTGGACAACTCGCATTATGAACGATTTTTTGAAGGAACGGAGGTGTCCATATTAACGAGGCATTACTGTATATATATAGAAAGACCACAGTATGTTATCATCTTATTTACTTGAAGCAGGTTCAAATACAGCTCTGAAATACCCAACGAATGAGAAGCAGGATGGAGTCATGTGCTCGCGCAGTAATGATGTAAGGTAGCCTTGACAATGTCGCAATAGAAAAGCTGACAGCCACGGAGCAGTTTCGCTTTTTTGCCAATACTTGTGAGTAAACAAACAGTTGTCATGCGTGCAAGTAGAATCTTTATTCAAAACAAGAGACGATATGTGTAAATACATTAAGCAAAAAAAGAAAATGAGAGCCGCTTACAACTCCCTGTAACACCAAATTGGAGTGCAGATCTTGAGGAGGGGGAGGGAAGGGTACTGAAGGGAGCATATCGAGCGTATACCCCTCCTCCCTCCTCCTCACTCCCTCATCCTGCCTGCTACTTCTCCCTCCGAGCGGCGTCGGCGTAATCGTGAGGTCACATGACCCTCGCGATGTCACGTGACCCTCGTGACCTCACAGATGTCAAGTGACCTCGCGGGGGTCACGTGACCTCGCGGGGGTCATGTGACCTCGCGGGGGTCGCGCGACGTCATCGGGGTCGCGTGACCTCAAGGGGGTCATGACCTCACAGGGGTCATGACTTCACAGGGGTCACGTGACGTCACCAAAGTCACGTGACCTCATGGGGTTCACGTGACGTCATCGGGGTCATGTGACCTCACCGGAGTCACGTGACCTCACTGTTACGCCGATGGCGACGCTGCTCAAGCCGGAAACGGGGGCCTAAGAGCTGGGCTCTAAGATTCGATTTTGGGTTTAATGGCGTTTCATTATTTCTGAATCTTTATATTTGACGTATAAAAATTATTAGTGCCGGTTATGATCGCGAAATCAGCCAAATACGCATTTCATGACCACCAGCCAACCCAGAACGGCATGAATTTGAGCCTTTTTTGCCCCCCATGTGATTCTTCGAGTTGTGACGTCTTGCCCGCCATCACATTAACGTTTGACGGGTATGGGCCTAGCCGTCCCCCCCTTCATTGCAGTCTTCTGTACCTTCAATTTCTCATGGAAATTTATATAAATAAAAATTAATTTCCGCACCGTGACAGAGATAGTTAACATGTTAACTACCTGTTAACATTCCAGCACATTCTTATTTTTTTTTAATATAATTTTCGGACATTTTATTGTTTATGCGCAAGGATTTCTGTCCTTCATATTGTCTGATCACAGCCAAATTAGGCATACATGTATATATACTTTAGAATATATAGAATGCAACTATATAGGTTTGGGCAGAATATATATTTCTTCTTAATATTTATGAAAAGTTTAAGGAACATTTGTTTGCCCTCTGATTAGGCATTTTTCCTATTGTTAATTATTTTAAAATGAAGGAAGCGTCTCAGACATTGTTTTTGTCTTTATTACACTCAGTAATTTAAAAGGAGGAGACTAATTTATTTTAATGGGCTTTTTTTTTAAGTGTGTTGTCATGCCTCACGTACGCACACCAATGCTGTCCGCTTGGAGCATTTGAAAATCTTCTTCCCATTTTCCCGCTCTTCTTGCTCCCTGCATGTTTAGGAAAGCCATCCCTACTTCTCTCCGCCTTTTCTCGTTGCCCCCCCGTGTTTCCTTCGTTCACTATTTGTTGGTGGGGGTCCCCTTCTCCCTCTCTCGTCCTCTATTGTTCGCTCCTCCTCACACCCGGCTACTGCCTGCAGCCGATATTTCGCAGGGGGTACTCGTTGCACCAACTCTTCACTAGCTGCTTTAACACATCCCATAGGACGTCTACGCTGGGTAGTCTCCTTCCCTCGCTGGCATTCCGAGGTGTCCTTGGGCGGATCTGCTGCCCTAAAAAAGGGGCCGTCATCCCTCGCTGCACTCCCTCACTTGAGTACAGCGTGCCCTCCTTTGTGAAGCACCTGGGATTTAGTACCGGCTCCATGTCCAGGAAACGCGCCTTGACCCTTACGCATGTCGCCCGTATCCGCGCATTACCCTTGGCTGCATCTGCTTGCATCTCCTTACCCCGGCTAGACACCTCCGGTATCGAACAGATGATAAGCTCGGCCCCCCTTTCTTTCCATGTTTCTTCCAACTTGGCTGTCAGGTCCTCCACTGTGCCCTGCAAGACCTCGTTGAGGCCCAAGTGGAGCGCATATTTCCTAAGGAGTTTTCGGCCCTGCTCCACATACTCCCGGATGGCCTTGTGGGCCTGGTCGACGGTCGCTCCCCTTTGATAGAGAAATTCAACACTGTCTTTCACCCCAACTTCCTGGACTGCAGCGCCGCCGCAAATCTTCCTACATTCCCATCTCCTGCCACAATGATTTCTCTCTTGACTCTCCTTGGTGGTCTCATTGGTGTCGACCCTGCCCTTTTCCGTTCCGTGGGCTGGGTAGCGACTCAGGCCGGTCTTGGTTTTGTGGGGTGGACAGGGACTCCGGCTGGTCCCTGCCTTTCATTGTTACTCGACTCCGCCGAGTGCTTCTGTCTATTTCTGGCTTCCTTTCCCTGTCACTTTCCTTCCAGCTGCCGGCAAGCTCGCCCCAGTCTCTCCCATGGCACTCTGGTGATATTGCGTTGTCCTCCTAGCACCCTGGTGCTATCATGTTGTCCTGGGCTTGTTCTTGGCCGGCTGTCATTGGCATTGCGCTTTCTCCCTTTGCCCCGGACTCCGTGTCCTTTTCCCCCTCTTCCTCAATCCCTGTCAGCTCTTTATCTTGCATATCCATCATCCTCTCCAATATCGTGTACCTCGCTGCCACAATCTGCCTCTCGTTCTCTAGACTCGCTACCCGTTGCGCGAAGAGGACAATCGCAATCCTGTCCACCTCCGATTGCCTCACTAACCCAGCTAGCTATGCATGTAACCCCCCAAACCGCTCCTGTTGTGCTTGCCCCAGGGTTGTCGGTCTTTCTATGTCCACGCTTGTCGCTTCCTCAGTTTCTGTCTTTCCTTCATTTTCTACACTGATTGCCTTCTCCCCATTCTGGTCTGTCAGTTTGCTGTCCTCGTCTACTACTTTCGGGGTTCCGTTTCCGACCTGGGAGTTTCTTCGATCTGTCGGAGGTGCCATGAATCCCTTTTGCCTGACCCGGCCTGTCTTCTGTATCCTCCCTTCCCCTTCTTGCGTCATGTGCGGGCACGGAGGCCTCCTTTCCTTCCACGTCTCACCTTGCATTGCCCCTAGTGTGCTGATGAGCTCTGCAACTTGTCTTTCTAGCTTCTCCCTTTTAGCTTGTTCTGCCCGTCCTCAATGTTTTCTCCTCTTCAAAAAACGTCTTGAGACACTCCTCTTGTTTTCCCCATTCTTCTTTCGCCTTCATCAGGGCATTCTCTAAAATCTCCTGCAGTACCTCAATTTTGATGCACAGTGCGCATCTGTAATGGCTTGCCTCTGCCTCCTCAAATCTACCCACCGGTCGCATCCCTCGCACTTTACCATACCTCCACCGTCATTCTCGATAGTATTTGCTTGCTTCGTTGTCTCCTTGTAACTTGGTTTGCTCGCCTTGTTATCTGTCCTTCCTTGAGGCGTGCATTGGGGTGTTTTTCTCGTTCTTGTATATTTTCTGCCTCACTTGTCTCGATCGTTTCTAACGGTCGCACCCCGCTTATTTCCTCCCTACCAAAAGCGCTGACTGCCCCCTTTAGACTCTTTAGACATTAGACTCTTATCACTTTTCAAAGGTACCCACGCATTAAAAGCACCCTAGCTGTCCAGAGTTTTGTGTCGACACTTGTTTGGTACTGGACACGATCCTCGGGAACCAAGCCCTCAACAGCTCTGCCATAAAAACGCACTACAGTTTTCAAGTGCTCTCCACTGCTGCATCACTAGGCTCGTTTGATTCACCTCAAGCACCAGCTACACTCATTGCACACCACTGCATTCTATGTACAAGTGCAGCCTATATTTAAACAAACACACACTGGAAGTATTGCCCTGTACTTTGCCACACTTTTCTGCGCTAACGTAGACCAGTGCGGGTAAATAGAGGGAGCCCACCGTTCGATTCCAGCCCCGCGTTCGCACCGAACGCAACTCACCTGACTTGCAGCTGGTCCGTGACCGAGGCCGGCTCGGAAAAGAAGCTGGTGTGGGGCGCCAGTGGGACCGGGGAAGGGGCGGGGGAACCGCCCCCCCCCCTTGTGACCCTCCCTGGCCCCATGGGCCACGATGAAGGGAGAGTAGGGGCTGGCCAGCTGGCTGCCGTCCAGCTCCCGCTGGAGCGGCTGCCACTTGGTGCTGCCGGGGGACAGCTCCGCCCGGCGCAGCTCCAGGGAGCGCCGGATCAGGTCCAGCTTCTCGCTCGATTCCACCAGGCTGCTCTGGGCCTGGACCGCGGCGCAAGAGGTACGTCTGGGTGTGTACGCCACGCACGTTACACTTGCCGGGTTAAATCCCCTCCTCGCCTCGGTTGCAAGCAGCCCGTCGCAGGCCCGGTTTCCCACGCTTCTCTATTAGTGACATTCTCGCTTGTTAAAGTAGTTTTCCAGTCGCGCCGCGTCACATAGAATTTGGCACCCGCGATAACACGTGTTGCTTGTATGCTGCTTCGTTACTAACCCTAGTTTCACGCCTCAACGGCGGCAATACCAGCTTTACGAACACGTTGAAGTGAAGGCGCGGTGTTTGAGCCCACGTATGTCAAGGTCAGAAGAGACGCTCTGAGCGGAAGGAGCGCATGCCTGGGTGCAAAGAAAATGAGACACTTTTTAAGCTTTTGTTTGTTCCTTTTTTTTTCTCAGTTGCGCCGTCCGGACAGCTGAGACGCCGTCGGCCGAATCTACTCAGGCGTGCACCAACAGGAGTTTACCCAATGAATCGCGTCGCAGCGTTCGCCTTGCCGCATCTCCACATTTAAATATCTTGTACCGTGGACACAGGGGAGGGGACTGTCACGTGACTGGGCCCCACCGCCAACGTCTCGACAAAACGGAGGCCCGTTAACCTATTAAAATTGCGTTTTCTTCCCCCCTTCCCCCCCCTTGACTATTTATCGAAAATTCCCCGACTGGCTCCTACGGGGATGCGGTGTGTCCAAGTGCAGTTTTCATCTGTAAACGCTGCTATATCCTATGGGCTTCGCAATTTAAATTTCTAGATGGTCTCACCCACGAAGCAGGAATTAACTCGACCGCCACGATCTCGACGGGCCCTAAACATTCCCGAGCGGGGAAGCTTTAAAGCTGAGCTCTCGCGTCGTGAAGTCGTTTGGCAAACATGCTGTACGCAGGAACCGTCCATTTAGGAACTCAAAAACGATAAAAATGGAAGTTTGTCTTTGTGCACGTGTTTCAAGACAACATGACTGGGGTGGAATTGTCGGGTTCCCCCCCCCCTTAGAGTTCAGTTTGCCCCTAAAACTTCCGGCTTCACAGTTCGGTAGACACTCCGCCGGCATTGACAGTGTGGTTCTCGGGCGATCGTTTCCCGAGAGCTCAACTCGAGAATCAGTGACGTGGAACGCCAGAGGGCAGTGCCTGGAGCGCCGGTTTCCATATCACGTGAGCTTCTAGTGGGTACCGACATGTTTTAGGCTTATTTCCGTCGAAAAAGAACCGTTTTCGTCCCAAGACGTCGCCACCCAATGTTCCTACCCATTCATCCTTCCCCACGAGTGGGAGTTTATCCGGAATTCTAGGGAATTCCTCAATATAAACTTTATACCGCAGACGACGCCACGAGCCGTCGGAGCCTATCCAACACGACGCGCGAGACGTTTGCGGTGCCCGATCGGCCGGGTGGCACCCACTGCGGCTCATTGTGAGGCAAAACAAATTCAAACTTACCACAGACCGAGGTTCTTTTGCTCTTATGGGTGAACACTGGTCTTGGGGCTTTTTTCCCTATTTTTCTGACCAAGCCCAATGAAACAGCAAAAGCTTGTTCAGACCTCTGAGCTGATATCAAATTTGTTATTTTTTAGTTAGTAGCTTACTTCTCGGGATAATTATAACTAACCAGACTTTGTTTTCAAAAACAATAGAGAAAAATAATTTTTTTAGAAAAGAATGTTTTAACATATGGTCAGATACTACAAATTATGAAAAATGCCATGTTGAAAGCACTTTTTAAATTGAACCATTATTACTGACTTTACAACGCACTGAAGTACAGTGCTCAATGTGTGACTACCAAACAATAAAACATTGCTTCAGTTAAAACATTTCTTACACCTATATTGAAAAATCTGCTTCCAACATTGCATGCTTTGCACATTTAGCTACATGATGCTAAAAATGTTATCTTTCTGTCAGCCCTAGATGCTGAGATATCCCCCTGAAAATTTGTAAGGAGTCCAAAATTTGTGTTTTGAGAAAGTGTTGTTTTAGCATCTGCTTCAGTGCAATTTCAGCCCATACAGATATTATAAAGAGATATCATGGCTCAAATATGAATCTTCAATATAAGAAGCTGTATATTTTAAGATCACTATTTTCTAAAAAAACTTTTTTATGGACTTTTTGGTTCCAAAGATTCATGTCTCCCCCTTAAACGGAAGGAGGGGGAGTCTCACCTCCTGGAAGACCTTGCTGCCCTGGCAGAGCTTGGGCATGCTCTTGGCCCCCTCGATGACGGCGCACTCCCCCTTCAGCCGATGCCGCAGGTCCTCCATCTGGAGCTCCAAGGGGGACGTGCAGTCCACCACCTTGCCTGCACCCGGAGGCCCTTTTAGTGACTCCCACGGAGGGCATGTCCCCGCGCGAGGAACACTGTCGGGAATGTTGCGGTGCTGCCAACAGGTCTTCGACCGTTCTGTCCGGCACCCCGTACTGCCTGGGACCCATTTTGGCCGGGATAGTCTAGTCTTACGGATGCATTTCTGCCGTCCCATCTTTTTTTCTCGATGAAGCCTCGCATCCCGTCTTTGTGGGAACGCGCGTGTGCCATTGCGAAATGAGCGGAAAGCGAGTGCGAGAAACCTAAAAGAATATGCAGTACATATTACGTATTACACACGGCGCGTACGACCAACCAAGCGTGGTTCAAGGCATTACCTGGTTGAATGAGATGTTTTGTGCATTGAATATATTAATGTCGACAAACAAGCCACAATCGGCAAGTGGCTAGGCGTAGAAAAACTCTCGTCGCTTTCGTGCTATGTGGCCGAGTGCCACGGATGTGGAAACTGCTCGTGGCGCAATGGAGTACAATTTAGAATATTTATTTTATGAAAGAAACTGTCGAAGGCGCCTAAGAAAGGTTCGCGATTTGTGAAGCATTGTTCACACTGCACATCTTGGTTAGCAGAATGTGATGATTCTCCATTAGCGGAGGCAAGCAAAGATCAACTTCTCCAGGTGAGTACCAAATAAAAACAAATGGACTGACTGCGCGTGTTCTTTTAAGTCGAGGTACGCTTAATTCGAGGTGTTTTGCTGTCCTTGTGAGCTTCGAAGTATTGAGAGTCAACCGTAATAATAATTGTGACGCGCGTATGTTTAGGCAGCGGCAGTCAGCTTCGATGGGCGTCTACGACGATACGAGACTGCAAGAAAACAAGCTCCGACTCGGTGGATTTTACGAGAAATGTGGGGACGATGTGCAGGCACTGCCACCGACCTGCCACGACAGCCGAATCGAGGTGGTTGTTGGTTCCCCCTCTGTCCGTGGCGGTGCCGTCGGCATGGTTCCTCTTGGCATGTGCGTTCTGGCTCTGCCTCAGGTGTGCCATCATCATGCGGATGTAGTCGATCTTAGCCTTGGGGTCCGCCTGCATCAGCTGGGCCTCGACCAGCAGCTCGCGGTCCTTGGAGGGCCCGCAGCTGTACATCTGCGGCATGTTCTTCATCCTCTGCTTCACCTGGGGAGCAATGGCTCTTTTGTACCCCGAGCATCTGGAGAATACTAAGAAGTAGTGGCACAAAACTATCTACACCAGTGTCGACAGTATACTATCGATAATGACTGTTGACGGTAGGCTATTGACTGTACTATTGATAGTCGACTATCATATTGTCAAGAATGACAATTGATGAGGCGACGACAAATGAAGCAAACTAAATGTTTAATGGGACGAACTTGCGCTCAAAACAAGATGGGAAAAGCCTAGCGTTGCAGGCGTCGATGGCGGCGAAACAGCAGGATCGAGTGCTGGGGCGGGACTGGCTCCGGCTCGCCACGTGGAGCCTCTTTTGTACACACATGGGCTTCTGGAACAATCGGCGCAGAAGATACGGCTCATAGAATAGTGACCTTGAACATGACAGAGTTCTCGAATTTACTAAAACGCGACAATTAGAAAAATAACAAAAAGGTGCCTCCGCTACTAGGTATCAAACCTCGGCTCTTTGCGTGGGAGCCGAACATGATAACCATTTGGTCACGGGCGCGCTGCCTACTTGCATGCGCGGCAATATATAGTGCGACCCACTTATAACGATGCCACATATAACGATGTACCGCTTATAATGATGAGTTTTTAGAGTTTCGAGACAGGAAATGATCAGTTTCTAGCCCAGATACAACAATAATCGGTTATAATGATTGAAATTGTGGGTTTTCTCATGATCGGTATAGAACGGTTGCACTATAACTGTCGATAGCATACTACCTATAGTGAGCTATCGCACAACTATAAATGACTATGTGTCAACAGTTTTCATTACAAGTCACAGTCAACACTCGACTAAGCGAAGACGCGGATCTTGAAATGGTAAATAACTGCAATATCTTTGGTTTTTCGAAAATAACATATATGGGTTGAATATTGAAGCAGTAAAATGGCTAAGTGGGCTAGCTGGTACACCTTCAACAGAGAAAGCACCTAAAAAATACATGGAGGAACAGGACCAAGCATTTCCTTCATTAAAATACTAAAGAAAAGCATGTTGGAGGCCTCGAGACCTCTCTGGGTATTTGTACCTCGGTGAAACGTTTTCATTAAAAACTTCAATCCACGGTGGAATCTCAAAAGAGTCAAAAACTTGTTATTCGTTGATTAGATACGAGCTACGACACCATGTCCATTCGGCAGCCAAAAATGTCCTCCCTTCGACACCTCAGGCACCGTACCAATCCCCCCCCTCCCGGTGCAGCAGGGAGGGCGGGGACGCCGCTGCCCCGAGAGAGCGCCCACCTTGAGCTCGATGTTCAGCTGCTTCTCGAGCGACTGCAGCCTCTGGTCCGTCGTGGACGGTGGTACGTCCCCCTTGTCTTCACAGCAGCTGTCCATTAACAGTGGCTGCTCATCTGAGAGAGAGAAAGAGAGCAATCAATATCGTACAAGGGCCACATCCCAGTCCGGACTACTGCAGCCCACGTCCTGCAGGTCGATTAAACGCGCATGCCTGGTCGCACTGGCCATTCTCCCCGCATTTTTTGTTAAATACTTCTAAATGTTATAAGTCAAAGGAAACTAAGAAAATTTGTGATTATGCTAGGGCCGACTTTGAAGAAAAAATGTCACCACTATTTCGCGTGCAAATGTTGTTCGACGATTTAGCGTCACCAAATTTAAATATTTTTGGCAAATTGAGTGCTGCATTCAAAAGGTCTTGCTTCCTCTTTGACAGAGACAGCTTCAACACACAAATACAAAGACTCATTGCTTCCAGATATCTTTCAACGACTGTGTTGGATATCGCAGAATGCACGCTAAAATCAAGAAGAGTATGCGATAGAAACCCAGAGAAAAGAGGCCAACTAGCAGTTGTGCCGTACATCCACAAACTCTCACACAATCCAAAGAGGGTGGCTTCCGGGTTTGAGGTGCAAACTTTTCTCTCAGCACCTGACAAGCTTAAAAAAGCTTCACCCCGAGATTAATTCCAAGCGAAGCATACAGACAAATATGTTAACTGGCTTAGCAAGGTTGTCTATCAGATACCTTTTACATGTGGAAAATTCTATGTTGGCCAAACGGGTAGATGCCTAAATATGAGACTATTAGAGCATACTTTGTCCATCGAGTCTTCTCCGGCAGGACACCTAGCAATACAAGTTCGAGGCTGCAAATGCACACCACCCCCTTGCTTGCGGACACTCGAGTCCTGAAGCGGTTCTACGTCAAGCGCTAAAGGGAACTATATGAAGCACAAGTGATACCATCCAAAGGATATGCGTGTGACAATGCCCCTTCCGTGACATCATCGGCATCGGCAATGTTCTATTTGAACCTCAGTTCCTAAGCCGAACCTGCGAGAATTCTGCAGTCCTGTAACCTCGTTGTAGGTTGCGCTCGTGTTGCAACCCTGCAACACGAGCACAACCTGCAAGTATCCTGTCGCAAGTGCACAACCTTGTGAGAACTTTCCTCACCCTGCACAGACGGGTGTCCCTGGATGACGAGGATGTCGGCCGTGAGGTCGCTCAGCTGCCGGCGGAGGTCGCAGAGGCGCGAGTTGGACTTTTCCACGAGGGAGTTGATGTATGCCAGGCTATTGCGGTCTGTCGTGGCCTTGAGCAGGTTCTCTGCACCCTCCTTAATGTTGAGCTCCTTGCGGTGTTCCTCCTTTAGCTTGCGCTTCAGCTCCTCGAGCTGCTGTTGCAGGCTACCAGCCCCCTCCTCCCCTCCGGCGCAGCCCCCCCCTCCACCGGGGCACAGCCCATACTTGCCCGCTATCTCCTGCAAGGCCACCCTGCTCATGCCTGTATGGAAAAAGAGAATGAACATCTCTTACCAAAGGGACCAAAAACATTTCATTTTGCTAGACATTGTCTCGATCAGGGGTCGGCAACCCACGGCCTACACCGTACCACTGTACCGGCGTGCGGTCGTGTATCACTACTGCGTGGTGAAGACCCCAGGCTAGCGGTTGTACAACAGTGGCTAAATTTTTCATGAGCAGCTCGGAGACAAGTTGCCCATTGAGGCACACTAAATTCTAAACTCTACATACAAAAACACTCCCAATTTTTTTGTTTATTTTTACAAATTGTTAAAATTATGTGGGATTAATAATTCTAATGCAAAAAAGAGCACGGGGACTCCCACTCACACCGACAACATCACAAACCAACGCTTTGTTGATGTGGGACACGGTGCTTCTTGCCCACACCCCATCATGAATGTGCAGCGACGGTGGCACGCCGCTAGGGTCACTCCGGTTTGTTTGTAAGCGTGAGTTGGTGATGGTTTAATACAAAAAATAATGCTAGCAACGAAGCACTTTGTGCACATTTTGCATAATGCAGACGCACACCTAACTACTGGATGCTTTGAATCCATCCTAACAGATTTTGCTCCCATTCCTTGCTGAAAAAGGGTGACGACGGAATATTGGCGTTTGATGTATCCAATATTACCTCGAGCGTGGTACTTGACAGCTGAGTTCGCTCTAATGGAGTACATAATGCCTGGGTCAAATCTCCTGCGCCCCGGAACACTTCCTTATCCCCCGTGCAAAGACTAAGCATCGGGGAGGTGTGGAACGAATTGGCAGCTGATTGGGGTCCAACGCCTTCAGGATCGATGCCCGAGTGGAGCCGTTGCTCAAAGGCAGTTCTGCCAAATAGACAAACATATGTGTGCAGCTCCGAGATGTGCTTTGTCTGCACAAATAACCACAACGAAAAATTCAGTTGTCAGGTTCGAGTGACCTGAAAAATCACTTTTATGTAAATTCGAGAGAATGATGCTGACTTATTGTTCAAAACCTTGTTTTTAAAATTCGAGAAAAGTACCATAACTTTTGAAGAGATTTTGTAGCCACATCTCTGCTATCCTCCTCCTCCCCTCCTCCCTCCCTCCCAGCAATCAAACCATGACTATGATTCACCAAATATTCTATTCATTTTACACATATATCACCCATGTTTTCACCCCATCCGCTCCTTGCAGTGAAAGTAAATCCAATGGTCGCCCCTAACCATACAAACCACATAGGTATACAGGCCTCCAACCCAAAGTACCAAAACAAAAACTGCTGAAACTGCAGTTGTAGCTACTCCAGTCTTCTGACAGCCAAATTAAGATTGAGAAAAGAACCACAAATGCCCTAACAGTCGAAACCCCAAGGCTGTGTGGTGAGCGGAGAGCATATGTCATTAGACAACACAAGTAAAAAAAACCCTAAGCATGTTTTGCTGCAGACATAAAGAAAAAAGAAGTGCAATCAGAATGCCACTCATTGTGTATGGAGGTCTGTGCTGTCATCCAGAAAGAGGAACCATAACCCACCCCTCCAATGGCATGCGACAGCCGCCAAAACCAAAGGGCGCCCCACGCCCAAACACGACAGAGGAGGATGCTGTAGCCACCAAGTCGTTCCCTTGCGGAGCCTAAAACAGGTCCCAAATCTTCCGTAATACTTCTCACGTAACTTGGCTAAAGGCGCCTCCCCCCCCCCTTTCTAAGGTTCCAACTTTTGGCCATCAGTTACAAATGCCTTCATGCAGCAGAATTCTCGAGTCAACAAGGAAAGAAAACCTCATGGCGGAGCACTGGCAGCAAAGGGCTCCCTTCCTCTGAAAGCTATGAACACAACAAAAGAAGATCCTAAAAAACAAGATGACATTCATGAGTGGTTAATTGATTATCTCTGAACTATCAGATGAGGAGAAGAGAGCTTCGCCTCATTCGAGGACACCCTCCGGTGTCTGCAATAGTTCAGAGGTAATCAATCTTTGATACCAATTTTTGGTGGAGAAATGGCCACGCATAAATGTAATGCTTGTTTTTTTTTTTTTGTTTTTTTTAGGATGTTTAGAGCCCATAGATAAGCTATCGCAGAAAGTTGCTTAATTCCCTTTTCAGCACACATGGGCGCGTGAGGACTTAACTAAAGCAAGCGAAGGTCTAATGGGAGTAAATAAATGAATTGAATGAATAGATACAGTAGACATATAAGGTCTGTTCGATTCGCCTGAACTGGCTGAACTAGTTCAGCAGTGCAGGAACTGGTGCATTCGATTCAACCGGAAGTTGCACGGCCGCTGCACTGGCGCGTTCAATTCAACCCAGTTCTGAACGAGTTCAGACCCAGTTCCTCAAAATTTTGCACTGGCTCCGGAGTCAGTTTAGCATCCGTGCAGAAGCAGACGACAAGAGCAGACGGCGATAGCAGACGACACTCCTCGTCTGTCTCTGCTCGCGGTGCCATTTTTCGCAGCTCTTGCTCAAATGTCTGCGATGTTTAACAATAACGCCGATGCGGATTTTGCGTTTCTTCTCATTTATGATAATAACGTACCCGCGGTGGACGCGGAATTGACATTATAACCAAGGGTAGGAATTTGATTGATTATGATATTCTGAAAGCGTTTTAGGCACCTGCTTGTGTAGGTTTGACTTTCTGTGGCAAGTGTTGAAATATTGGCTCACGTAAATTGTTTCTTTTTGATACTATGTGGGGATTTACAGTATTGATATTCTTCCTTAAAGACACGGGAAAGGTATTGCACTCTTGATAGTCCCCGCCTTCAGTAGCTCTTGGATGCATACTGACAACTCCGATATGTTACAGAGGTCTGGGATTTAGTGCATTGGCCCTCGCATGCCCCGTAGCTGAGCATAATACTGCATGCTTTGTCCGCTGGTATCTTTGGACGCCCACTAACGGGCCCGAGAAAAAAACTGAGAAGGCTTGGTAGTTCCACACAGGTCATTCTTGAGAATCAGAATAAACGCTTCAGCTTGACGCCAAAGTTACGGTCGAGAACTGTCCTGGCCAAAACGCTATTGTCAGGCCTTCGTGTTCCAGGTGACCGCTACCGACCGCGCGCTGCCGCCAGTGACTCGCGACGCAAAATCATCCTGATGCCGCGAACCTATCGTCGAAATGCAAAACTCGAGAGACTTGGAGTGAATCTACTATTGCTAAATGAATGTGAAGGACACCAACGCTTACGGAAACGACAGGAACCGAACGGCCTTAAAAAATGCAGACAGAAACACATTTCGTACAGAAAACGTTTTTAGTACACTCGAATAAAAAATATTCACAAAAAAGATTCCGTTATTATACTTTAAAAGCAAGGAAATACAAATGGTCTCATAAAACCCCGAGTAATTAAATGTAGCATACAACGTGGCGTGGGGAAACAAGAGTTAACAGATGCAGACAACACCCTGCGCTTCCACTCAGAGAGCTGATCACAGCACCAGTCCTAGCGCGGCGGCTGCACTGGTTCTGCGCCGCCGCTGCATGACTCCTCCACTCCTCTGAACTCGGACAGAACTGGTTCAGAACTTTCTGGCTCAGTAACATGATTTCTCGTAATCAGGGGTGGAACTCATGAAATGTACTTGGGAGCAGCCACGGGAGCAGCTGAAACAGCTGTTTTGGAGCATGTTGGGAGCAGCTAAAACTACGTTCTGGAGCAGGCTAGGAGCAGCTCAGATCAGTTTTCATTGCACTTCAGCTTGTGTCTTAGACAAGCACGGGAGCAATTTCAATTTTGCTTAGGAGCAGAGATGAACATCAGTGGTTCGGGACCCAGGCAGATGGGATAACAGTGTAATAGATGCGAAAACTTGAAACTTTGTGAGCCTTAATGAGAATCAAAAAGCTAGTACCTGATGTTTCTGAAGATAGCGTCCTTAATATTTTCTTAGTGGCTTTCAGCTGCTCAAAATGCAAACCAGCACTACTTATCGCACAACCCGCACGTGATTGACATAGTAATTATATGTGCGAACCACGTGACGAGCGTAAACAACGGACATGCAGTTGCACGGAGGAGCAGGGCAACAAATTTCGAGTTTATCCTATTGTGCAACTCGATATCGAAGCAGCAGGCTACGATTAACGAAGTTATCGTATTTGAAGCGATAAGCAGGAGCAAGGTTAAATTACGCCGAGCAGATAAGTAGAGCTGCTGGCCGGCAAGGTAAGAGCTGCTGGCCGGCAAGGTTTCGGATCGGACCGCGTTTCAGTTCTATCGAATCACGATTTATCTTGCGAGAATGCGGTTCCAACTCCTAAGGATGAAGTACTAAAAGGAATCTTTTGCTCATTTCGACTGGATGACGTACGGATCCCGGGCCGCAGAGCCTCATGCAATCTGATGCTTAACGACTCGACCTCACCTCGGCCGACTTGCCCTACTGCTTATGGTTGAAGAATAACAATCCAGTCGCAAGTGGTGTAGCGCTTAGAATCCGAGTTTTTTTCGCGCGCTTCCGACTCGGGATAGACGGGGAATAAACACAACAAAGGATTACAAGGCCGACCAGGCTAAACGCCCTCATTGTTGCCAATCGAGTCGATAGAAACCGAAACTAATAGCATCCTCGATCATCCGCACCGGTGCGCACCGGGGCACTGAGGTGCGCCCCTTCATCTTCGATCAAGTGCACCGGTGCGCACCGTACATCCTCGATCAACGAAGCGCACCCTCCCGGTGCGGCTTTTCGTTGCCCCAACGCGCACCAAGAAAATCGGCGGTGCGCCGGGGGGCAGTCCCATCAGGCATTGCGGCCAGGAGCGGGAATCGAGAAGATGGCGGGAGTAGCAGACGCGCAGACTATCGAGATGGCGATCTTGCAAAAACGAACACGCCTCGCAGCTGCGCTAGATGATTTCCTCGGGTCTTCTGACGGCGAGACGACGAGCTTCTCACCATCGCCGCGATTACTGGTGATTGCTGCGGTGGCAAGGAGCGCCCGAAAAGCACGAACTTCGTGGAAAGCGGCGCGAGGCGTTTTGATGACAGCGAGGTACGGCTATTATCTGGTGTTTCGTTCTCTTGAACTAATAATGATGGCCAACATATACATGTGGAATTGTCACCCCCTTCGTGACCCCATCGACAATCACGTCCACGATGTTTATTTCTGTGGGACCGTCAAATCCGCGAGTAAAAAAATAGAAGAAATTGACAGCAGACGGGCACCGTGCGCTGACCTACGCAAAATAAACGAACAAAACGCGAAGTGACGCAAGGTGGAGCTCGCCGCGGTGCACCGGCGCGGCGCAGTTTGTCCTCGATGTTGCACCGACATCGCGCTGCACGACCGAGGAGCGCTGTGCACTGTGCCGGTTTCAGGGCGATTCCGGTGCGAGTTGATCGAAGATGCTATAAGACGAAATAAAAAGTTTTTTGGCGCACGTTTTGCGATTTGGCGCATAATGGCGCGAGGTATTGGCTGTGGCGCAGTTTCTGCAACATGGCGCAGGATGGCGCAGACACATGCGTCTGGCGCAAAATGGCGCAAATGGCGCAGCCGTTCCACCCCTGCGTAATTCTGTTGAAGCCGATCCATGATCAGCAATACTTGGGAGATATTAACTCTTTTTCTTTACCTTTCGTGCGGCAGTGGGCTATCTTGTGAAAAGTTGTGATAGGCTTTCTAAGTGGGGAGTTTTAAAGCGACGACGGAAACCGTCCTTGCAAGCCGATAAGCGATGAAAGAATGGCATCGACATCGTTGACGATGCCTCTTTTAACTATGCCCACACGGCCCACACGGGTCTGTGTGCCAGTAGTAAGGCGAGAGACGGGTAAAGAAATAAAAGAAATCGGATTCGAGAGCCCAGGCTAAACAAACTGTGCACAAATCGTTTGGTACTCAAGAGTCAAAACGAATTTTTCCGCACACGTACAACCGGCTTTGAGGGGTGACATCACACACAACACACAACTCCCCCAGGGTCTCAAGATGCCCCAGATGCCGTCGCTCCACATCGATCCTGCCTCCAAGGGAGTTCCGTGGATCGAGCGCCGGGCACCACTTACACAGTTCGGCCGGAGTTCTGTGCATCTACCGCGTTCAAGCACCGGATCAACAAGCCATGTCGCACGCACCCGACACGAAGAGGTCCGGCTCTCGAAGCGAGCAACCGACCGCCGGGCCAGCTGGTCCGTGCAGTTACGTGATCCGACGCCGACTACTATACTCGGAAAATGCGGTCCTTCTCGAGCCTCGCGCGTCGCGTTTCACGCTTCTGTCGCCGTCGGTCGCCGGGATGACCAAGCGACCAAGCTGACCCCTGACAAATTAGCAGCCGCTGCCACCACCGACGACGACGGACAGGGCCAGTGGCAGAAGGGTCCATATCACAAGAGCGAATGACATTTTAGCGAACGGCGACATTTGAGCGAATGGTTGTTTTAGCGAATAACGGGGGCGCGCGTTAACCCATCCGTTGCGCTGCGCTTTACGCCGCTTCGCGGCGACAGTCTACGGCAACTCATTACAAAAATGTGAACTCACTTGGCCCACCCGAAAACGCCGCTTCGCGGCGTCCTACTATTCGCTAAAGTGTCGTTCGATGAAACGTGGGCGTTCGCTAAAACGTCATTCGATCAAGTGAGTGCCTCCCGTGGGCAACGCTGACTCCGCGTGTTCGCCCGATGTGTATATTTATCTCCTCGGACTGGCGAGTCGCCCGAGCTGACGAAACGGCGGAAGTGAGCCGCCACCACTGTCCTCACGGACGCCGTGCCTGTTCTACCCCGCACGCCTACGGACGTACCTCGCGCACGACGAGCACAGTACACGAGGGTGTCGGCCGAAGCGAGACGGGCGCCAGCGAACGAGTGCGCCTGACATCGGGGTTTTGAACGTGACCGGTGAAACTTGGACGGCCAAAACGGCCGTGATTGTTCGCGTGTGCCGATACGCGATGACACTCTGCTGGATCGGCCGTCGACGCCGAGGAAGGCGCCGCGACAGCGAGCTGAGTAAAAGGGCTTACTGGATCTTCGGTTATTTCATGAGAGGGCCCAGGTCACTGTGCGAGCCCATCGCCCAGTCCGCCGGGTTATCATAAACTGTGGGCTATGGGGTTACCCGTTATCCTTTGAGATCTGCTTTGGCTCTTTGGGATGGTGAGTCGGTGAGTCATAAAAAGTTGTGCCCCTGAATGGATGTTACTAGCTATACCCCTTGTAGCGGGCGGTAGCTTGCGCCACCTAGCCTAAGTAGAAAGGTGGAATGGCGGCATGGGGTAATGACTTGGATGCTGAGTTTGCAAGAAGCCCCCCCTCAACCTAGAGCGAGTTCTACGAGTCTCTAATGCAACCAGCATATACTCATGTAGGAAAACAAACCAGAGTCAAAAGTGATAAACGAACACCGTAATTTGGTAAGGAGGTTAAGGAGGAAATCAAAGCACGACAGGAATGGTCCAGAAAGCATTGAAAGGCCATAAATAAAAAGCAATACAGCATGGCAAAGCAAAACTGGGCAAATTACGAGCTACAGAAAAATAAAGTAAAATCTCTAGTGGCGACAAAAATTCTGAAGATACACACGAAACACGAACAAGCCCTACAAGAAAGCGACAACAAAAGCCGTTGCTTTTGGAGATATGTGCGATCTCTCCAACCACACGAGGACCTTGAACACAAGACGTTAGGGAGTGGAGAAGACCAATGGACCACTGAAGAAGAAATCACCGAGGGAATGACTAAATACTTTCAGGGACTTCAAGCCTCCCTCTACAACAGACCGAGGACACAGGAGGAAACATCCCTACGACCTCAGGAACAATTTGACCGCAGCATTCTTGAACCAATAGCGCCCGGTGAACTGCAGGGACATATTAATAAACTAGAAGCAGGAAAGGCAGTAGGTCCAGACGACATTCCCAACGAGTTCCTGAAAAAGCTTAAACCGGTAGCACAGAAGCACCTAAGGTACCTTCTAAACAACATGCTGGCAAAAAGTGCTATTCCTGAAGCCTGGAAACAAGCCAAAATAAAACTAATCTACAAAGGAAAAGATAAAGACAAGAAATCATGAGACTCATACAGGCCGATAACAATACTAAGTAATGTTTACAAACTCTTTGCATCAATCCTGCAAGACAGACTGCAGAGACTCTGTGAGAAAGCCCACCTTTTCAGCGAGGCACAGAATGGATTCCGTAAGAACCGGCGGGGCAGCGACAACTTATTCACTATCACACAACTAATAGAGCTAAAAAAATCTAGATAGGTCACCACTCTATCTGGCTTACTTTGACTTGGAAAAGGCCTATGATGCAGTGCCCCACGAGAAGATGTGGACGAAGTTAGAAGCGATGGCACTGGATGTTCAGACAGTATTGCTCTTCAGAAACATGTACGCCGGATGCAACGCCAGATACAGTTTGGGAGAACATTTATCAGGGCAGGTGAACATGATTGTGGGTCTGCGCCAAGGCTGCCCCCTTTCTCCAACCCTGTTCAACATCTACATCAACAATCTCATTCGAGCTGCAAGCCAAAGGGCAGGGTGTTTCTTTCACAACCATTACCTCCAGTAATGACATGGAAACAACTTACATTCCAGTACTGGCCTTTGCTGATGATATACTCCTGTTATCAGAGAATGAAACTCACCTTCAAGACATGCTCAATATCTGCACTCGAATTGGGAATGAAGAGGGATTCAAATTTAGTAAGGAAAAATCAAAGTGGATGGGCTGTAATGTTCACGAGCCTAACCACGCGTTTAGAGTACAGGAGGTGGAAGTAGAACATACCAAGGAATACAGGTATCTGGGAGTGACTCTTCAAGAAGGCCCGCTGTATTTGGAACTACACGAGAGGAACACCCTAAAAACCTCCAACATCCGAAAAGGTCACCTGTAAAACATGGCAGAGTATTCCTATAACCCATACACCCTTGCGAGGGCACTGTGGAAGAGTGTCGCAGTACCGGCGGTCACCTATGCTAAAGACGCAGTGGTCTTCCAACAGACCACCCTGAAGACACTGGATCGCCATCAAGTGGAAATCGGGAGGTGGGCACTGGGCGGAAACGGGGCAACTGCAAACCTGGCCGTCACTGGAGAGATGGCCTGGTCGACTTTCAAGCAACGGGATGCAAGGGCCAAGCTCGGATACCTCGGGCGCCTGATTCACATGCCAGACGAAGCGTACGCCAAAAGGACATTCCACTACGTTAGATGCCGCAGCAGCAGGACGAACTGGTCAAACACCATCGCCAGGCTCGACTCTGTGTACAGCAAAGGGAAAAGGCGACATGAGGCCACATCGGAGGAAGGATGGCTCAAGGCTGTGACAGAGGAGGTGAACGCGATTGAACTTGAGGCCTGGAGACAAGCGGTGAGGAAAAAGCAGAGCCTCCAGAGCATCTACGCGCTCCACAAGCCTGAGCCGTCTCCCTGCACACACTATCGAGGGGACCATGAAAGTGCGCTACTGTTTCAGGCACGGGTAGGAGCGCTGATGACAGGCTGCCGACGTGCCCAACTCTTCGGAGACACCGACACAGCCTGTCATCTGTGCGGGCAGTCAAGCGAGGACGTCCTCCACGTGCTGCTGTGGTGCCCTGCCCTAGACCACTGTCGACCGCCCTGGGCGACCAGCGAAGAGAGGATTCCTAAATGCTGGGATTCGGGGAAGGAGCCCACGGTTCACTAGCCACCAAGCGCATTCTCGTTGAATGGGAGAGACTACGTCTGAACGCCAACCAGTGAAAGTGTCCCAAAAGTGGGAAAAGCTAAAACAAAACAAGAACTAAAACTTTTACCTGTGTCGGCAATTTGAACTTTTGCTGACCCCCCTGTCTCAAAAGGGGTTAGGTACCGCTAACTAACTAACTAACAAACATTTGATTCCTTCCGCTGTCATTCGGTGAAACGTGGGCGTTCGCTCAAACGTCATTCGATCAAGTGAGTGCCTCCCGTCCCGCCTGTACCCAGCTGTGCTAGTTAGTTCTGCATCATTCAATTTTCCCTAGATAAATTCCACCAATTTTCTTATCGACTCTTTGTGACTGTAATCATCTTCTCCTCCGTCCCTCCATCGTCGCCAGCAAACCCCAGGGTCCCGGCCAGATCTGTTAGCCCCTCAGGGAGGGCATTGGCAGGAGGAAGCCCCATGTCCCACTCATTATGGCAGGCAGCACATTATCTTTTTGTCAATTGGTGCGCGTGACATGTCACGTGCGAGATGGATGGTTTATTGTAGAAGGATTCCTTGCAGGCTGGCGCGCGCTCCGCCCGGTAGGTTTTATTAGGGTGCCTTCATGTGCGTGTTGCTTGGGTGGTGGCATCTTGCCATTTTGTCACACACGTTCATTTTTATTTTTTGTTCAGAAGCGTGTGAAAGAGCGTGTCCCTGCACGCGCTTGTGGCGCTGACTGTGCTATGGTGACATTTTGTTTTCGCCGATTTCTTTGTATTTTTCCCGCGAGCGCGTGCTGTCGGCATCTGGTACTACAAAGGGTGGCATTAGTGTGCCTCAATGTCCTTCTGTTTAGGGTGATGCCACCCTTTGTAGTACCCGATGCCGACAGCACGCGCTCACGGGTAAAATACAAAGAAATCGACGAAAACAAAATGTCGCCGGAGCACAGTCAGCGCCACGAGCGCGTGCAGGGACACGTTCTTTCACGCGCTTCTGAACAAAAAGTAAAAATAAAAGTGTGAGACAAAATGGCCAGATGTCTCCACCCTAAGCAAAGCGCACATGAAGGCACCCTAGGTGGCATCATCCTAAACAGAAGGACATTGAGGCACCCTAGGTTTTATCAGATCGAAGGCTAGACAAAGGCTAGCTACGGTCACGTGATGTGGTCATGTTGGGCTGATAAGTGAGAAAGAGCCGAGGCGTCAAGGGAGCATGGCTTGTGAAGGCTACGCGGCTGACGTCATGCCCTCTCCTACCCTTCTATTCTCCATGCCCCCATTTCACCCGGTCACATGGCAGTGTTTCGTCCAATCAAAAGTGTCTTCATGTTGTCTACGCAAGCTGGCGCGTTTTCTTTTCCCGCCACTTTCATGATCTCAATCTCGACTCTTTATAGCGCACAAAAATAGTACACAAAAATAAACTTTTTTTGTAACTAATCAGTTTGGTTTTTTTTTTTTTTTTTTTTTGTATTGGTATTAGCAGAAATTATAACGTGATCAATTTGTAAACTGTACGACTCTACGACTCCACCAACCACGGCAACATATGGCCTCCACTGTCGCATAACAAACCACGGCAACAGACACCGCCTTTCTGACTCCAAAAAGTTATAAATCTTTGGTTAACTTAATGGTCACCGCGTGTTTGTCTCGGGCAACAAGACCTTCCGTAGAAGGATGTGCGCACGGGGAACTTGACAAGATTTACGAGACAATACAAGCCATAGAAGAGCTCCACTAGCTCACTCGGCCGCGAAAGCGGTCCTGGCGAGGGGACCCGAAAACGCGGAAAAAAGCAAAGGAGAGCCGTGGCGCTGTAGTCGACTTTCCCTGAACAATCTCACCGGTCGTGAACGTCCGGCGTGTTGCGGTCGCTCCGGGTTCGCGGCCTTTCATTACAACAGATAGATACAACAGTGTACCGCAAAGCTTGCGATACAGGCAACCTCTAACTTACATCATTCTGTCGAACATAAAAGGGCTGTCGTAAAAACCGTACTACATCGGTCCGAAAGCATTTCTTCTAATCCTCAATTGCGCGCTTCTGAGGATGCTGTTATTGTTGACCTGTTGATGAAGCGGAATTATCCGAAACGATTTATTGACAACACGCACAAACAGATGGGACAAAGGAGAAGTCAGGATAATGAAAGACAGGGCAAGTAACAATATAGGCCCTCGCTCCTTGGAATATCCGCACAGCTTTCAAACCCCATCGTAAACTATGTGACCTCATTTCCAAACCTAAAGGGGATTGACAAATGGCTGGGGTTGTTGGCCGGTCACTGGGACGGGATTGGCACCCGGGGACCCGACGACCTCGCAATGGTTGGTGTCCGTCAAAGAGGGCAGTGAACAGAAGTTGCGACTCTCTCGGGCCTTGAAGTGTTGTCCGGCATTAAACTGTTAGTTGTGATGCAGAAAATGT